CAGTCATTGACCCAAACAGTACTTCCTCATGGGCATGTACTGCTTGGATCAAGGAGGCTTCTTCCGCTGTACTCCACTGCACTTTCTTCTCGGTGGCCATTATTATGTCGTCTGCTCGAATACAGGTGCGCGTACGCGAAAAACTGCGCGACATACAAAATAATCTCCAAACATTAGAGAGTTCTCTTAGTTAATGTGCTCAGCAGAGCACGTTTTCAGAAAGTTTGATGAATATGAATTTTGAGTACGTTCTCACTGGAGCACAGACTTGAGCATGAGCACAAAAGTTGAGTTTGAGCACGAGAACGGTTTCGTGAATACAGGCCCTGGTAGCAGCAACCATGGAAGGAAGATCCGTCATGCTGTGAAACGTCCGACTTCAAATTAATAGTTTACAATTCAGAGGAATTAGTTAATTCTAACGATAACATTCTGGCACCAGTCATATAAAATATTCCAGAATTTTCAGACAGTGATCGATTTAAACTCATTTATTGTCAACCTTAGAACAAGGGATGAGGCACAAAATATTACACCTGTCTTCTCCCCATATACATTTACATTGGGAAAACAATTACTATCATAGAAACATGCGTATATCTACAATAATAATATTATTATCAAAATCAAACTGTATCTGAAGATATATATTTTGAATTAAGGTCTACGTTAAGGTGAGGATTTCCAATGAAAATTTATCGAAATTGAACTGGGGACGTATAAAAGAGACTGCAGTAGAGTCTCTGAATGAACGCAACATTCAAAGTAGTGAAAGTTTAGATCAAAATTTTCCTTTAATTGGTATAGAAATAACTATGAAAAGTAGTGAAAGACGTTTTCACAGGAATAGTCACAAGTACACGGAGCTTTATTCACAAGTGATTTTAATTAAAACCAAACAGTCGACTCAATGATAACGAAGTCTGCTAGATTGTCCTAACATACAGAAATGTATAAATGAAAAATACATGTGTTTACAAAATAACTCTAACGTTCGTGTCTGCTGATTTTGATTAACGATGTATGATATTATATGCATATCATAAATCCAGTCAGCGGATGTTTTAAGGGACAGGTTATCTGATTATGGAATTGTTAAGTGAATGGAATTCAACTGGATCACCAGATTATATCAAATTGATGAAATGATTAATGTCATTTTGTTAAACGAAACATATTTCGTGTAAGTCCTTTCCAATAAAAATCATAATTACAACGTTTATTTAGAAATGCGTGGAAACTTTGGCTTGTTTTTCAGTTTCATTATACACTGTGTGCATGTGTTAGTCTTTTTGAAATATTGAAAAAAATTACTGTTGAAACTAAATGCAGCGAAATGATGTGTGTGATACTAAATTAGATATTCGTAATATAGTATTAAAATATATTTTATAATTAGATCTCGTTTGTGACTTTCTGTAGATTTTTTTGTACTAATTTCTTATGATATGAATTCATTGTTCGCAATTAGTCATTTTCCCCTAAAATGGCATTCAGTGTGATCATTAGCATGCTGTTGTTTGTCTTGTGTTTCTGCCGACATGTTCGTTTACGCAATATAATATGCTTGATTAAGCTGACTGATTCTGTGTGTACATGTTATAGATTTCAATGATTTATAAACATTCCATGTCAGAAACAAACATGTTCATAACATTAATGTCGAACACATTTTCTAAATTAATTTGGTACAACTATCAATATATTTTTCATTCTTCGCTTATAAACTGTATAATAAAATTTTTTTTCTTTCCCGATCTCTATCAGTTAACCTTATGAATAATTTTATTTTATTTTATTAAAATCTTGCCTGAAAATTGGGGCAATTGACGAGAACTTAATAAAATCTATATCTGCATATTTACAGCGAGTTTGTTATGTTTTTACCGTATATCAGAATCTGTATCTAGCAATGTTCTTTTGTATCCCTGTTTGTTTGATGTGTTAATAAATATCAACAATGCACCACTTCTCCGTGACTTATAAATAAGTAATGATTCATATTTACAGTGGAAATAGTGCGTATATAGTGATAACGTATATATGTTACTTGTATGTTTAGTTTCATTTATTTTAATATTCATTAAATAACAACCAGATTCCATACAACTGTTACCGATATGATTTTCTGTATATAGAAAAATAGGTCTCCAAACGAAGCTGAATAACTGATTAGAATGTCGTTATAACAGGTTAGAAGGCTATCTAAATCCACAGGTATTACAGTAGGTATATAATACACTGTACATATACATAGACCGTGGGTTGGGAATTCATGCAAAGTCCCGTTGCATCAACCTACAATTATCGAAAACTTGTGTTATAAAATTATCGATTAGCTGTCAACATTTATCATTTCAATTCTGAATAAATCTAGGTATTCCATTGAACAAAAAAAATTCTCATTTAAAAAAAATAGTAAAAATCATGGAATGTTTTAATGTATCTTTTTCTCAGTTTTTACACTACTTATTAAAATCAATAATTTTCTAAATAAAAAGAAATCATTGTTTACGAGTTTGGTGGCAATTATTTGAATATCGTAAAATAATTAATTTTCGTGGATTTCCTGTGTACTCTTAATCCACGAATCCATATGTCATGGAACAGTTCAAAAATCGTTGAAAAATTAGTAACAGTGGATTTACTGAGTTATATCTACCATCAAAACATCTACAGAAGAGTATTATTCTCTATAACCACGAAAATTGAGCATCCACGAAAATAAAATGAGTTTACAGTATTAGACAATCATTGATTTGCTACCTGCGCATACATCGGTCAGGCGATTACTTTTTTTTTTTTTTTTTAGAAAAAGATTAACATCTTCTTTTTTTTTTATGACATCATTGTTTCACCATTTTAATTAAATCACACATGCTAATCATTTAAAGGAATTTTATCAAGTGATGCGGAACTTACCGTAAGTAAAAATTTAGATTGAGTGTTAGTCAATATGACATTTTGTTTTATTCGCTGTATATCCTATAGATGTCAAGGTCAGCAAATTTGAAACATACGTTTCGTTGTAACACTGTTGAAGTCATTTAACGTTTTCTAGATCAGGCGAAAATGTTTGTACTATTACACCTGGTTAATTAACCCAGAAAAAGTCCCCGTGGGACTACCTCATTAATGCGGCCGCGAGTGTGTACAATAAAAGACTATATTCTAGGATAGTATACTTTGAATCCCGAAAGAATATCTATTCTGGAAAATGAATAAAACTCAGATGTGTTTTGTTGCACCTGTCTGATCAACAGAGACATTCTATTACTAATTAATTAGCTTGATACACAACCGGAAGATGTCAATTACAATAAAAAAGAATACTTTATTAACGGAAAACGATTTCCGGAAAACCTATATTTACTTACCATGTAGGCCACGTTTCCCATGGTCTTTGCGTAAATCTTTATTTCATTCAAATTTTCACATTTTTTCATCGATTTCGAGTTTGAAGTAAGGATATGTTTACCAGTCTAAAAGTATATCCATCATTCTGTTCTTAAATATTTCTCTCTTCTGTACTGACCCGCGTGTGATTATTTGTGTTTGCCTGCTGTCTGCTATTGTTTTTGCCCTACCTAAGATGGCTCTCATGATCCTTCTCATTGACTCTCGACTTTCTCTATTACGTTCCAACTTTTCCTGTCGGAGACATTGCTAGCCTCGGACGTACCAGTAACAAAGCGATGAATTAATTATAAAACATTGTTTTGCGGAATCGAATCTGGTTCCATAGTTACTACATCACTATACAGTTTATGTGGAAAGAGCGTGGGATTGGTTTCATACAAACGATAATTGTGGAAGCGGGGGCGTATATAAATTTATAAGTGAGGAAACAGAATGTCAAAATAATTTGATCTATTTATTGTATGATGTTATGTTAATGATGTCTTGATGTGATAAATAGCATTTAAACACTCCTTTAGTCTATATATAAATTTCTTTAATTACATTTAAACGGAAATAAGATATAGATCGCTCATAGATAAGATTTCCTTTGTTTTCTTATCTTGTGGTTTAAATTGCAAATAAAGGTACTAAAAATATCCATTTTTATTCAAGAGCCCTAATATGAATGTAGATGTATTATTTATGCTCAGCTTTCTGTAGAATGCGTTCAATCTATTCTTTAATATCAGTGTTATTATTGCTAATCAATGTTTTTTTCTCCCTTTTTTTCCCGTAAACACGAGTTTCTCGTTTTCATGCGTTGTCACTCAACTTCAAGTATTCATGTCGACGAACATTCTACGCTCGAGAAAAAATATGAAGTCTACATGTTAACTTAGAAATGTTAAATTTTAAGATCCGTTTATCTGTTGATGGTCTAGCAGTTGAAGGTGGCCCGATACACAGATGAAACTAGGCAGTAAAAAGGTGCGTCTTGTTCATTAAGAACGATATAGCATATGAATGCTATTTTCTCATTTATCGTGAGTGTTATATACAGACGTTCGTGTTAATCCTATTATACTTTATAATGATAATAATCCTAGTACGTTCATTCACTTGCTCAAAGGCGAGAACAGGAAACAGCCATAATGATTTAGTAAATTATTTAAAAGTTAATTAAGGAAGGAGGTATTCACTGTCCAATCTAAACCAGAATGTGTATGTATGGAAATGTTTTCTTCTGTTCCACCTCATTGTTGATAGAAAAGTGCGTTCGTATGAAGTAGGTTCAAATCACATTTATTATGATTGTCTTGTACTACAACTTAATTATAACGTTTAAGTTGATATTTACGATGATGGTATTAAGAATGATGTATTGATGTATGATGGTACGACTGCCTTTGTCCTATTGTTTTCTCTTGGTGTGTTTTCTTACCAATAACTTAAAAAAAACACTGATGAGATAAGCAATAAAATAGTTTCTAATGAAAAAAATGAAAATTAAATTTCTTCTCTGTTTCCCGTAGCTTAGGGCTGGACACACAAAGCACAGGGGTTGGGCACGTACAGCACGGGCTAGACACACACACACGTCACAGGGGCTGGACACACAAAGCACAGGGGTTGGACACACACAACACAGGGGCTGGACACACAAAGTACAGATCTGGAAGCACAGAGCCGGACACCAAGCACAGAGGCTGGGCACACAAAACATAGGGCTGGACACACAAAGCACAGAGCTGGATACAAACAGTACAGGGACTGGACACACACAACACTGGGGCTGGACACACAAAGTACAGACCTGGAAGCACAGAGCCGGACACCAAGCACAGAGGCTGGGCACACAAAACATAGGGCTGGACACACAAAGCACAGAGCTGGATACAAACAGTACAAAGACTGGACACACACAACACTGGGGCTGGACACACAAAGTACAGATCTGGAAGCACAGAGCCGGACACCAAGCACAGAGGCTGGGCACACAAAACATAGGGCTGGACACACAAAGCACAGAGCTGGATACAAACAGTACAGGGACTGGACACAAAGTTCAGGGGCTGGACACACACACGGCACAGGGGCTGGGCACACAAAGCACAGGGGCTGGACACACAAAGCACAGGGGCTGGACACACACAGAACAGGGGCATGACGCATACAATACAGGAATTGGACACACGAAGCACTGGGGCTAGACACGCACAGCACAGGAGCTGGACACACACAAACGACAGGGACTGACCCACACAAACGACAGGGACTGGACACATAAAGCGCAGAGGCTGGACACACACAGCACAGGGGTTGGATACAAAGCACAGGGGATGCACACACAAAGCGCAGAGGTTGGACACACACAGAACAGGGGCTGGACACACAAAGCACAGGGGCTGAACACACCGAATCTCAATACCACCTTCACTTTGATTTCACATCCTTTTCCTTACCAACACATTCCTCATATGTACCGTCAATGATCGTTGTTAGCGGATCGGATGATCACTAGCGACAATGGGTTATATAAACACCAACTTTTGAAACAATTCATTCTACCGGGGTGTTGAGTTGAAGATTTTAAAAAATTGAGTAAACCGGACATTTTTAGCCACACCTCTTAGTCTGCAGCGTGTGCAAGGAACAGTACGTACATACCATCAAGCTGTCATCTTCTATATTGTATATTACATTACCTCTAAGTTTGAACCATTTTCAATGGAAATTAAACAAAGAATGACGTTTTCCAATATAAATATTGATAAGCTGAGCCCCTTTCCAGGGAAATATGTGAGACACTGGGGTTACAAAATCCACAATTTTGGTAAAGTTCTTTGATTCTAACATAAAATTTATTTAGGTGTTGAGAAGACGATTATTGAAATATGAGTCAATTCGATTCGATCTGGTTCCGCCTCTCACTCCCTTTTAGGGCGGGGTCCATAAAATTCAAACTTTTGTTTCACGTTTGACCGACATTGAAGATTTATGCAGTATTCCATTGAAATTTGTTCACGGATTTACCAGAAAAAGATGAAAATGCCATTTTTTTTGACGTTGAATGACGCCGGACAAAAAGCAATCATCATAATCCACCGCGAGACTTTGTCTCACCAAATGATTAAATCTTTCTTACATTTGAGGAATTTCTGCATTCATTTCAAATTAGAACCAACTTTCTATAAAATTATGGGTTGACAGTAGTTAAAAGTTTTTTAAAAATAATCTTCGAGTTTCAGTTAGAGTTCCCTTCACAGCCTATTATTGTACCGCTCTTGTTTGTGCGAAGACCTCCCCACCCCCCATTTTTTTCCAAAAACGATTTTTTATATCATAGCTGCCTTACTACTTTAGTCGATATGTTGTTCTGGACTCAGCAAATGGAACAAAGAGTTTAATATTGAAAAAAAGCGATATATATACATAAGCTACCAATTACAGCAATACAAAAAACTGGAGTTGCAGTGATTCCAAATTCATACATCACACCAGGACAATCAACACATTTCTTACTAAAACATAATTAAACACTGGTTCGTTTTTGTAATGTTGAACATTAAACCATTGTTCATTGCTTATGGGAATGTAAACAGGTCGAAACGTTTATTCAACGATTTGAAAACTTGTTGGATTTAGTTTTAATTTCCGTTGCATGAAAAAAGGATTTTATTTTATGGAAAAGTCTCAGAACGTTGTATATATTATAGCTATGGAAATCTTAACCACACACTACATCTATAAAACTCAGCAATCCTTCAATCAAGGCCTTCATTGATGTCTTTAAAGACGATTTTCTGGTACATAAAATCAATAAACTAAAAGGCAATTAGACTGGAAAAAATGGAAACCAATTTTAGATTTGGTTCGTTATATCGTTACCTGTATACTATGGAAGAGCGTTAGGGCCACTAAGGAGGGAGGGGGGATTGTATCAATAACTCGTAATTTCGAGATAGTAACTCAACATTCAACCTCCTAACCCGGTTTATTCCCTATATGTCCCTGTTGCTCTTTTATAGCGCGTGTAGTGTAGGTGTCTTATTAGCTTCATGATAATTGTGATGACGACGACGACGACGATGATGATGATGATGATGATGATGATGATGATGATGATGATGATGATGATGATGACGATGATGAAACTATTTTTCCTTGAGTGTGGATGGCTGTAATTATTAATTCACTGTTCTTCGTATATATAAATCCTTCAGAAAATAATAATAAAAAAAGAAAACGAAACAAGATTGCCGAACCCTTTTTTTCTCAAAACATAGATTTGTGTGATTAATATTGATAAATACCGTATATTCTATGTCATAATGATAATTTCTCTGGTCCCTTTGTCTCTGTGGCTTTCAGTGTATTGCACTGCATTTCCCACCTCCGTTTTATTTACTAGTAGCTGCTCCACGTCCCTCTCGCTCTGTTTGTTAGGACAGCAACAGTTATGTCCCTTCCCCTGCAAAACACATTTTTCTCCTCAAAAATATTTGTCTATCGTACAATGTATTTTGTTGGACGTGTTGATGTGTCCCACGACATCAGACTAATTTTGTCAACGGATCTAAAAGAAAAAAAAATCAAGGGATATAGATAGAAACATCATAATTCACTTTTGGGATATTTTGTCACAAGTCTGATATAGTTTTGCTTGTTTGTTTTTTGAAAATCACATTTTTATCAGATAACACTTTCGTTTTACATATTTATAGAAAAACGTTTTCAAGACAAAGTATTGTCAGTCTTTTTAGGACTACTTCAAAATGAATTAGATACAGTATAAACTATAAAGAGTTTTTAGTGATATTTCGATCTCATCGTCGACATGTAACGTTAGAAGATTGTGTTCTTTTACAATGGAAAATTGACTCTGATATAATCCTTATAACATAAATATACGTTATGATATCTTTTACCAGTAACGTACGTTCAAGTTATAGTATAACTGTTGTTGCTTGCGTGAAAGGAGGAGCAAGTTTGAATTCACTTCTAAATATCGGTCTTATGACCTTATGGTCTGAACCCAGTAAGAAGTAATATATATTAATAATGTTATTAGAAGTGTTGTGTTAGAAGGAGCACAAGATATGCGCGTCAGCGTTGTATTGGTCTTCCTAAACCCCGCCCCTCTACTCTTAACAGGATCCCTGTCTGATATATATATAACACAAAGGTTAAATCTAAATTAGATTGTATAAATAGTGTATAAATAAGTAGGTAAAAATAGTAATGTGAAGGAAATGAAAGTTAAGTGAATATTTTGTATTTTGAAGGAGATATGAAATGTCTGTCTGTCTGTCTGTCTGTCTGTCTGTCTGTCCTAGAAAATACTTTGTAACTTTGCCACGAGTAGACATATGTAATCTTGATTTACATACTTAGATATGAATGCTTTCAACGTGATCTCTAACGAGACATTTCCCGTGTATCAGAATAACACTTCAGACACCATAATTCTCTGTAAACGTCACATCTAACTTACATACTCTTCCTTGAATTCTTTAAAAGAAAGATGTTTGTTATCAATAACAATGTCTTTGATATAATACATGCCTCCCTAACCAACCCCGTCTTCTATAGGAGAAACCCATCTTAGGAACTTTACTATAGCATAAAGACTGAGAGAACACATTGTGAGGGGCTGTGGGAGTGTTTAATTTACAGAGGAAGCCATTACGTGTAGTATTTCCGTCCAAAAATTACTAAAAAATATTCATATCTTCATTAATCTTGCCTTGGTTAATTTAAGTACCTTGTACTAAACGATATTTTCAAATATATCTAAAGCTAGTGTTTTCCGTGACGAGAAATGATTCGCATCTAATATTTTTTTCATATGCGACGTTATAAGGCATGGCAAAACGACAAGATATGAGGTACTCCGGAAGATCACCTCCATTGTAATCACTAAACATGAAATTACATTAAATTTTATCAACTTTGCAATTCCATACGAAATAACACACCCCCTCCCCCCACCAAAAAAAAAAAAAAACAAAACAAAACAAGCAAACAAACAAAAAAAATCTGTTGCCTACGTCTTCTCTTTATTTCTTCAAAATTCTAACCGAATAACCGGGAAGTACAGTACATGGTTGTATCAAGATAGATAGCGCTTAAGTTTTAATAACTGTCCTATGTATGATATATAGGATAAGTAATTCACCTGTATATTTAACGATTTAAAAAGTTCATTGAAATTATCTTCCTCTACACATATATTGTCTTTACTAAAAAGTAACTCCAAGAAATGTAGATTTTCATTCGTGATTGCAATACAAATTCCTGAAAAGTACGCTTAACATTATGATTTATCAAGAACTTTGCAGGCTACCTTGATCATTCGAACATCTAGAATTTTTAAATATTAACTTAAAATTAGTAATTCAGACAACCGTATTCTTAGGGCTCGAGCCTATTGACAGAGCAGGACCTATTATGACAGACACGTGACTATTGACAGAGCAGGACCTATAATGACAGACACGTGACTATTGACAAAGCAGGACCTATTATGACAGACACGGGACTATTGACAGAGCAGGACCTATAATGACAGGGAAGGGCCTAATGACAGAGCAGGACATATAATGATAGACACGGGCCTATTGACAGAGCAGGGCCTATAATGACAAACACGGGACTATTGACAGAGCAGGACCTATAATTACAGACATGGGACTATTGACAGTGCAGGACCTATAATGATTGACATGGGACTATTGACAGAGGAGGACCTATAATTACAGACACATGACTATTGACAGAGCAGGACCTATAATGACAGACACGGGACTATTGATAGAACAGGACCTATAATGACAGACACGGGACTATTGACAGAGCAGGGCCTATATTTACAGACATGGGACTATTGACAGTGCAGGACATATAATGACAGACACGGGACTGTTGACAGAGCAGGATCTATAATGACAGGCATGGGCCTATTGACAGAGAAGGACCTATAATGACAGACACGGGACTATTGGCAGAGCAGGATCTATAATGACAGACACGGGACTATTGGCAGAGCAGGATCTATAATGACAGACACGGGACTATTGGCAGAGCAGGATCTATTATGACAGACACGGGACTATTGACAGTGCAGGACATATAATGACAGACACGGGACTGTTGACGGAGCAGG